TATACCAACTGTAACACTTACTGGCACCAGTTTTAATTTACATACATGTTGTGTATACTGCTGCTGAAAGGAGTTGGGAAAAATGGTCCAAGTAACACAAAGTGAGTTTGTCAATACATTTACACCAAAGGGAAAAGAAAAAATCTGGACAGAACTAAAGATGACAAAAAATAAAACTGTGTTAGGAAAATTTCAGTGTTAGGATAGCACTAATTTTTACATTTCGAGTGTTTGTTCTTAACATTTATCTGAGGAACGTTAGTTATGTAGATAAACAAACAGCTTACATTCTCTGGAAAGATCAGGCTGCAGATAAGGCAAACTATTTTACATTTACCAAGTAGCTGCTCAGTGTTCCCTTATTCGTTTTTCGTGTCACAATGCAAAGAAAAGATAAGCAGTAAGGCTTGTTGTGAGAAATTAAAGCCATGTGCCTGAAAAACAGGATCATTGGATGTCAAGTCCTATTTTGCAGAATGTGATCAGGTGCGTGTTAAGGACTAAGACAAATTTTCAGCATTTCACATTCATTGTTACCTTGGATGGAAGATCAAACACTGAATTGTAAGAAAGTCACATAATACTCTATTCTGACTGATGTTTCATTTGTTCAAGCGAGGTTGTTTCTTCTTCTATAAATATTTACAATTATCTCCTACAAAAATCCTATTTCATGAAGAATTAATGGTGAGCTTCACTTAAAACCACAAAGTTAAGAATTACAAGATACGCCACAAACGTACAGTACAAATAAGTATACAGTACATCAGCAAATATACAAATATAAAAATGTATTCTGAGGTTTTTGCACCCCCTTTGACACGTTAATGCCAGATTTTGTCAGAAACCACACATATATAAAAATATAGACAATGCTTTTGTACAAAATATTGACATCGTTTATGAATCTCCATTAAAATGTGCAAATTAACACTGATCAACAAAAGCATATGTTTATTTAATGCACAAATGCAGGCACACATGCACACACACACGCACACACACACACAAGGCATAGTCCTTTTTTGGCCTGCTAGTGATGTATTTTTTTCATGAAAAAGCACCACATCTTCAGCTATTTGGACTTTTCGATATAACATTGTGTACTTCTCTTGAGAAAACAGAAGAGAGAATAGCATTGCCTCATTTCAGGTTGCAGCCTCTGTGGTCATACAGTAGAACAAGATTAGAACAGCAGTGATTCAGCTCAGTTCACCCTTTAAAATTTAAATCCTCAGCTCTGCCTCTTCACTGTGTTCCAAATTATGTTCAGTTGTGCTGATCACGGAGGCAGAGGGGCCCTGTGAGACACTGAAGGGTGTAATTGCAGGCGAACGTGCTGCCAGTGGTGAGAGAGACGGGGAGAAACTTGGAGACATCGCGATTGACGAGATGGATCCCTCAGCGCTGATGGGCGATCTTCGTAAGGAAGCCAGATTTGGGAATGTCCTACCTACGGCAGGCTTTGGATGCACAGTTTTGGCCCCAGGGTGGGCCACAGAGGTTATGAGAGGTGGAGGGTCAATTCTTGACTCTGCTTTTGCTTTGTGATGAAATGACCTGCGAGGATGAGGAGGCGCAGTTTCATCTTTTAAACGTGCTATTTCAGTAAAGACATTAGCTAAAGGTTGAAACTGGGGACACCAGTTTAGCAGGTAGTCCCAGTTATAGCTGCCCCTCAGCTCCTCATCACTGGCCACAATGGCTGTGAGGGAGCCATCTGCGGAGGGCTTTCCGTCCTCAGGGAAAGTGTAGTCTTTAGGGCGGGAGATGCTGAGTCCTCGTCCCACGCCTACATACCCGCACCCTTCGTCCCTGTAGATTGGCACCTGGCCAGCTAACAAAGTACTATTGACGCTGCCCGCTTTCTTTCCTTTGAACCAATCAATAGAAGGCTCACAAGACACATCTGATAGCTGATCAGCATCCTGCTGGATTCCGGAGTCTGGACCTCGGGCAGAGATGTGCTCCTGCATTGACGAGGAGATGCTTGACACTCTGGGATATTCATTAATCATCCTGATCTCATCATCCTCTGCTGCCTCTGCCTCGGCAGAGCCTCGACCACTGGAGTGAGAAGGATCTAGGGATCCGCCACGGGTGTACGGACCCCCACTAGTTCCTCTTTGATCAGTTGCATATCCAGGAAGCGCCTGATGGTAAATCATTTCATTGGCTGCTAGTTTTGTTTCCTCAAACTTGTGCAGCAGGGTCCCTGACATTGGTGTTCGTTCGTGTGTCTTTTTCTCCTTCTTCCGACGTCTTAACTTAACAAAAAATAGTGCCACAGCAATTGTTATCAGTATGACTATGATCCCAAGTGAAACTGCAATGACACTGACGAGCAACATGTTCACGTCTCTGGTGAGACCAAAAGATGTATGGGTAACATCTATGGTAACTTTGGCCACTGATATGCGAGACGTCTCCAAAGGGCTGTGAGCGCTCACATCCAGTGTCATCAGACGTAGCTCTCTTTTAGAGCGACTCATGTGTCTACTGTAGCTATCCGTTTTTAAAGAAACCTCTCCAGTTGATTTATTGACTTCAAAATAAGGCGAGTGGTCTGCTAAGGAGTAGAGTACAACACCATCCACACCCCCGTCCTCATCTCTGGCTTGCACTTTGCCAATGACCTGACCCTTCTTTGCTCCCTCAGGCACTTCAAATAAGAACTCTGAAGAGGTGAAAACAGGATCATATTCATCCTCCCCCGTAACATAAACCTTCACTGTTACAGTAGCAGAATAGTTGCCTGCATCCACAGCCATGACCACAAACTGGAATGAGTTTATCTTCTCAAAGTCAAAAGAAGAGCGGGTCCGTATTTCACCTGAAGTATGATTGATGAAGAAGCCCTCTTTTCCTTCTTTAAAGGAGTCTAACATGTAGTACCTTAGCTGTCCAAAAACCCCTCTGTCATGGTCAATTGCATGCAGCATGGTAACTAAGGCGTTCTGGGGTTGGTTTTCCCTGATGCTTGCAGTTACTAGATTGAGGGGAAAGAAAGGCTGGTTATCATTGATGTCCTTCACTTCTATACTGACAGGGACCAAAGCAAAGTGTCCTTGGCCATCAGTGGCCTGGACAACAATCAAATGGGACAACTGTGTCTCGCTGTTCAGAGGTCTCTGCAGCCTCAAAGCTCCAGTCCACTGGTCTACATGGAAAAGATCTGTCTCATCTCCTGAGCTTATAGAGTACTGGACCTCACTATTTGGAGCAGAATCTGGATCTGTGGCAGATAAATGCAAGATCTCAGTCCCTGCTGCCGTACCCTCACTCAGAATCACACTGTACTCTGTTCGGCTGAATACTGGAGGGTTGTCATTGGCATCTGTAACACTGATAATGATAGGAACGCTGGAGCTACGCTGAGGGATTCCACGATCTGACACCACAACCGTCAGGTTATAACTTGGTACCGCTTCAAAGTCCAGCTTCTCTACCAGGATTAGACTCCCAACTGTCTGGAAGCCCCGCCCCTCCAAGAAGCGCACGCTGCTCTCAATCTGGAAGGCATTACCCGAGTTGCCACTGGCAATAGCAAAATCAAAACCACAGTTATCCCGTAACAGGTCTCCATCCACAGCTTCTAATGTCAGAACAGTTGATCCAGGAAGGCCGTCTTCAGACACAGTGGCTCTGTACTCTGACTGATGGAAGATGGGGGCGTTGTCGTTTATGTCAGACACTTGAACATGCACAGTGGCAATGGCTGAAAGGGATGGAGTACCCTGGTCTCGTGCCTCAATCACCACCAGAATGGAGGGATTCTCGAAGTCAAACTCAGTCTTTTGTTTAGTAAATAGAGTACCTGCGAAGAAACAGAGAGTACCATCATAAGAAGGCCAACGTAATTTTAGGTCTTTCTTTCACAACCCATCATATTACATATCAGTGCTGGTTAGCTCTTACACAGTAATGAATGACTTAACTAAAAGAGTAAATTACAATTACATTTTGTAAACACTGTGGCAGATTTGGGTACACACTGTTTGAGGGAACATTATTTCAGGCAAATGGAAATGTTTTGAGGACAGGAGAAAGTATAGTTAGTGTAAAGAAAAAAAGTCCTCTTTTATGACGCACTTATTTTTAGATGCTATCTCAAGCAAAACATCTGAGGCAAATAACATTCGATTTGGTTTTCAATTACTTATAATGAAGAAAATGATTAAATATTTTGCAATACTCGTTGCGAATATGTCCAAACCCCAAATGAGCATCCAAGGAGCGCTTTAGGGAATGGCATTTTTTTTAATGAAGTATAATTAAGGGGCTCTTAAACTCTGGTTAGAGTGTAGTTATAAACAACCATAAATGCAGTGCAGACAGTAATCATACCATTGACTGGGTCAATGTAGAAGACACCTTTCGTTGATGACATGACTCTGTAAGTAATTTTCCCATTGTCCCCAGAGTCACGGTCAGTGGCTGTTACGGTGACGACTGCGCTGCCTGCAGGGAGGTGCTCTGATACAGCCACCTGATAAGAAACACATTAAATGTAAATATATTTATCTCCATTACAGATTATTGAAAACTTTAACAAATATTCCGATAATCTAAAATGTAGTGAAATATGCAGTACCTGATACAAATCCTGGGTAAAGGTGGGGGAATTATCATTCACATCATCCACCAGCACAGTGAGGTTGGCCTTGCTTTGATGTTTAGAGTCAGATGTGCGAACGGTCAGAGTGTACCACGTCCTTTCCTCGTAGTCTAGTGGTCCAGTCAGCGACACTCCTCCTCCATAACAATGAATTCCAAACATGCCTTGGCTGCTTGCATCTAGGTGTAACGTGTAGGAGAGGGCTGGCCCCGAGTCCACATCATTCCCCGTTACCTGGGTGATTATTGTGCCAATGAGAGTATCTGTACGTGTGAAGACAAAGAGCAGATATTTAGGTGCAGCTAAAATGAAACACAGAGTGTCTTGGTTTAAAGAAAAAAAAACGTTATGAAGAAATATCCGGTTCTGGAAAGCCTTGAACTAATAGACAGGAAATGAACGGAGGAGGAACTTGGCCATAGCTTGTTTCATCAAAGGGTCAGACTTTTCTCACTGAGCCCTGCTGAGCGAGCTGCCAGGGAGTGTGATGTGAGGCTTTATGATAAGATCACTGGGCTAACTTCCACTGTGAAGCTGACTTACCCTCAGGCACTCGAATCTTCTGAGGCAGGGGAATCATGGGACTGTTGTCATTGAGGTCAATGATGATCACAGTGAGGGTGGCAGAGCCAGCGAGCCGTGGGGTTCCCCGGTCTGTTGCCGTAACAACAAGCCTGGAGCGACAAAATTAATGTCAGCTTTTTAACTTTTAAACTTTCTGAACCCTGTTACACAATTCTTGGTCCCCAAAGCCCACATCGAACAGCCTGTTTTTGTCTGGATGTTTTTCTTTCTTTCTGTGTGTGTGTGTGTGTGTTTTCCAATACACAAAAGTGCCTGAAAGTCATTTTAAATATTAATAAAACAATATGTTTAAAAATATTATCTGCAAGGGATACATGATTTTCTCATAACACTGAAAGGCTGTGAACATGCAAAATCTACTTTTCTCTTTCTATAACAGAAAGGATTTTCTGAGTGGGACTTCAAAATTTGAGTCAAGTTTGCAGTAGCAATATAAAATCCAAATGAAAGTCAGGTGAAACAGTGCAACTCGTTTTTAAATCCTTGGATTTTTCAAAGCAAAATATGAACATAAAATGAGCAAAACTATAAAAACAAGGAAAAGTTGACAAGAATAAGTGTACATTCTAACTGTAACAGAGTCTAAATATGCATGTGGATTAGCTGACAGGAAACTCATGCCAACATGTGGTTACAAACAAACAGAATAAAAGCAAGACTCACTTCGTTTGGGTCCAGATTTCCCTGTCCATTATGGCTGCAGTGGTAACGCTTCCAGTCAGTGGGTCTATCTTAAACAAGCCACTCATGGATGATGACCTGATAGAGTAAGTCACCTGACCATTTTGACCCTGGTCCCGGTCGTCTGCGGCCACCTGAGTGAATTAACACCCCATTTTGGAAACGTAAATATAAAAACATTTGCAGCAGCTGTTTTAGTGTAACTCAAACTAGTGAGCAATATTGGACTTGGAAGTCAATAGTTAATAAAAATGGGCTATATGGTTCTGGCTTCATGGCACAAGCGATTATACAGTAAATTCTTCTGGGACACTGAGATCACATGAAATTGAAAAGTCAATCCTTTGCAGCACTGAAACTATCCAGTTTTCTGATGCTTGAGAGTTTTTATTCTACAGCTTCACATTTAAACAGCAGCCAAGCATAATAAACATTTGGGGGAAAAGCTACTGCACCTGGATAATGGGAAAATCGTAGCCTTGCGCCTCCCTAATGTAGGCTACATAGTTCTGGAGTTGGAAGCGTGGCAAGTTGTCATTTACATCCTGAAGGATTAAGTTGACAGCCATGTAGGAGCTAGAGGATGCTGTCTCAGCTTTCACCACAAGGCGGAGTTTTGGGGTCTCCTCAAAGTCCAGTCCTTCAGATTTCTGGACCCATATTTCACCTAAATCACAAAAGTATCAATGACTCACTTTCTACATTTCAAAAATATAGCCTTGTAATGTTTACTGCCATCTTACCAACTGTCGTACTGCCAACACTTACCAGTAATTGTGTTTATTCCAAAAGACTGCAATTTATTGCCACTGAATATACTGTAGGTGATCCCATTTTTAGAGCCATCTGGGTACTGGGCCTGAGCTTGTGTTACTACTGTGCCTAGAAGATGCAAAACACACTATGTTGATACATTTCATTTATACTTCTTATTTCAAATGTATATTTACACTCTTTGAATTACAATGTTAAAGATTTTAAATCACTTCAACCTTTAGCAGCGTTCTCTTGCAGGCTGACATCTCTTGCTGTGCGAGAGAAGCGAATCCCACTGTAGCTCTGCTCCTTTATGTAAATGATAACCACTCCCAGGGAAGATTGTGCTGGGTTCCCTTGGTCCATGGCCTGAACTATCAAAGTCCGTTGGCTTTGGGTCATGGTCTGCAGCTTCTCTGTGGCCTGGATTTCTCCTGTCAGTGAGTTAATGGTGAACCCTCTGACAGAGTTGGCGAAACGATAAAAAACAGAGCCATTAGCTCCAAAGTCTTTGTCCTCTGCTCTCATAGTGGCCAAAACTCGACGATTAGAGACACTACTGGCGGAGACATTCACAATAAGTGGGTCCTGAATGAAGAACGGAGCATTGTCGTTCACATCCTGAATATAGATCGTCACCTGAGCAGTGGAGTTACGTGGGTTTGCGGGGGAAGAATCGGTGGCACACACCTCAAAAGTGTAAGAAGCTGTTCTCTCTCTATCGAGGGGGGATGCTGTGATAATGCGACCTGTGTTTTGGTCTATCATGAACATGCTCTGGGAGCCATGGCTCAGAAAGTACAGCACTTGGCTATTAGGGCCATGGTCCAAATCAATGGCTTTCACCTCCAGGACGAGTGACCCAATGGGAACATCTTCCAAAATTTCTGCTGTGTAGCTGCTGCTCTGAAACTGGGGGCTGTGATCATTGATGTCCAGGACTATCACTTCTACAGTGGCAGTGCTGCTAAGTGCAGGGTGGCCCTGGTCCTGAGCTATCACCGTTAAACTGTACCCAGGCCTCTTCTCCCGATCAAGGGGCCGTGAGGTGGACAGGACACCTGACTGGCCATCCAAGCGGAAGTCTCCGGATGAATCTCCAGCTGCAAGTAGAGCGATAGCAAATGGCTTGTAAACATTTGAAACTATGTACCGATCATTTAAAACATTAAATCAAAAGAAGTTCTCACCTGTAATTTTGTAGTTTATCCTGCCGTTGTCTCCCGCATCCTGATCAGTGGCTCGAAGGGTGAACAGAGGTAGTGCTTCCAGGTTTTCAGGCACCTCTATGCTGTAGTAAAGACGTCCAAAGACAGGGGCGTTGTCATTAACGTCAGTCACCTTGATCCTCACAGTTGCTTTAGCATAGTTCGGTGGAAGGCCTCCATCTTTTGCAGACACTGCCAGAACATAAAAAAGCACACTATAATTTTTTGTAGTAATTCATGATTTAAATATTATTTTTATTATGTATCAGATCAGGCATTTTTTGTAAGGCTGTAGAACAATCAGATGACAGTACCTGTGACAGTGTAGTATTCCTGAAGCTCCCTGTCCAGAGACTTAGTAATCATAATCACACCTGATACTGGGTTGATGCTGAAACCCTCCTGTGAGATACCGTCATATGTCACCTGGCCATTGCTTCCTACAGAGAAACAAATATAGTCACAGCATTCTATTAAAAATGGCCTGTAAAAATAAATTAAAAATCAAAGAATGTCAGTGAAGGTCAGAGAGTTCCATCCTATAACTTGTAGATAATAATGAAAAAAATGCATTTTCAACATGTTTCAAATTCTCTTCTAATAGCTTGTATACTTATTTGTTTGTTTGTCATGAGGCTTGCTGTATAAGCATTTGGCAGCAAGAGCCCTCCCTCAGGCGTCTGTGTGCCAGATCGCGTGCTACGAGAAAGCAGCCTGGCAACCTCACCTGTTTACTTCACTAATTGCTTTTGAGGAGAAAGTTTATAATCCTTCTACTTTATGTGCTTCTGACTAACTCTGGGAGAATGCATGCTAACCCCCCCTCATGTAGTCCTTATGCAAATAAAAAGAACTGTTAATGTCTCTAATGTGAACACAAAGTCAGCACATGATGGCTAAGAAGAATTAAAAGCAGCACAAATATAATATGACAGATCAAATCCCTGCACATTATGAATCAGACCTTGGTCCAGATCAGTGGCAGACACTGTCAGCACACTGGTTCCTGGAGGTTGGTTCTCCGAGATCTCTACTTCATACTGGCTCTGCTCAAACCAGGGCGCCTCATCATTAACATCGATCACATGCACACACAGCAGCTGGATGGACGAGTGTTGGGGTATCCCGTGATCCTCAGCGATTACTGTGAGGTTAAAGATGTCCTGCTCCTCGCGGTCCAGAGGTTTGAAAATAGACAGAGAGCCTGTAGGGAGATGAATGAAGGGTGAAATATGAGGAGAGATTTCCTCTACGTGGGTACTTTATTATAGCCTGGTTAAAAGAGACAGTTAGACAATTACGGTATGAAAGCATGTCATCAAAGGCAATAAAAAACACTGCTTGCCATGATTGTGTTTGTAGTCAAGTTATTTAAAAATCAAGTGTGAAAACTTGCCGTGTGAGGGCCAAATCAGTGCTAATCTCCTCCACACACACACAGCTCTGCCTACCTGACTGCTACCACCACCACTGCTGTAACAGCCCAAACGGTCTGGCCACAGTTTACGAGATTTTCCACTGGAGAATGCCACAGCCATCGAGAAAGAAGCAGTAAACACACACTCTAGACACGCAACAGCCAGGCCTGCCGTGCTCCGTAGGAATTAGAGGCACCCCAGCCTTTTCATTATCCTGCCCTAAGAGGGTAGAACTTGCAATGATTTAATTTCAATTTCATGCTTTAAAATCAAATGCAACTGTTAAAGAAAGAGAGGGCCAAGACTGTTTTCCTTTTAACTTTTTTTGTGTGTGTTTGTTTTTCACTTTGTGCCTTTCTAGGATTGAGATAACTTGCCTCTAAGCTTTTAATCTGGTATAAGTTACAGGCTGGAATTTTTCACCTAAATTTGATTCCTCTGTGATCCTACTATATGCCTGGTCACCGATAACACATGGGAAGGGGAAAAAATGGAGGGATCTGGGGAGAGTTTTTATTTTGGATGTTTTGTAAGCATGTGTGGGGGTTGGTGGCGCCAACGCTGTGGACTGTAGTGCATGTGCGAGCGGAGGTTGCTCAGACAACAAACACATCTCTCTTATTTGATATGGCAAAGCCATTTATCAAAATTTGATGGGTTAATCCCTGAATGGTGTTGTCTTTTGCAGAGAAGCAGTCCCCCATATCACCAGTAAACTCTCCCTACTTCTCTTGAAAGGAAAATTAATGACCTCCATTCTGACACTGAGTGATGAGAATGTGTCTCACACTGTGACTTTACAGATTTATAACAATCGCCTGATAGTTCTTTCTATTGTGGTTAGCTGTGACGCCAAGGTAATGAAAACAGATTGTGCAGAGTTGTCGTAGACCTTTGGTCACTGACCCCAAAACGGGAGCAAACCAGGTGCACAAAGGATTAACTTGTCACTATTCTAACAAATAACTAGTGTGCATGAAAAGCACTTCAAGATGAGTGCACATACTGGGCTGAAGCAGAAGTGACATGCATGACAGACGCTGAATGTTTCCATCCCCAAACTGCTCCAGGAGGCATCCTGGTTGGCGACTTGAAGGCGAGGGCGGAGCAAATGTTGACACGTGTCTCAAACACCACAACAAAGCCCACAGGACCAAATGGCCCAAGGTCAGCGCTGACTAAGTGACATACTCTAATGCAAGCACACAAACACATATGTGCATGCCTACGCACACACATACACACGTGCGTACACATAAACACGCGTAACTGATCCCTCCTCTAATGGTTCCCAGAAGCCTGAGCAGGAGGTTCTTTGGTCTTTCATGGGAATAGATCCACAATAACAGATGATGGGTTGTTGTGTGTGCGCGCGTATGCACGTGTACTTGCACATTCTTGTGTGTGTGTATGTGTGCGTTTAATATTTGGCAAGCTGGCCTGTCTGGCCTCCAACTGAGAGAAATAAGTCATGAAAGGTGAAGCAAGAATTGGGCTGACCTTAGAAGTAAGCAGATTATTAAAACAGTTTGTGTGTGTTTATAGAAAGTAAGGTTAGGTGAATTTTGTGTGGAGTCGTGTAGAGTAGTGAGTATATATGCAATGCAAAGTGAAATTTAGAAGGAGATTCTGATGCAGATTTGCTTGTTTGGTTCAACTGAAAATATTTCATCTTCAGCAAAAGATTTGCATGACACAGTAGTGCTTTAGTTCTAGTTCTACAGCCTAGCAGGGCAGAGAATACAAAGAGAGACCTGAGAAACTGAAGCCAAAAGTTTTAGTATAATGATAAGTAGAAAAAAGAAGCAGAAAGATGAGGAAATCAAGTAAACAGCATAAGAGATTTGAAATCTTACTCATTATGATCTTCAAACTGTTTGTATTTGCACTTAAATTAAATATTTTTTAAGTAGACTATTCTTCTAATCATAACAACTCATAGTTGTGATCAGTAGCTATCCCAGATAACACTGGGTGGAAAGCAAAGTTCACAGTCATCGCCAGAGCTAACTTATGAAGATATAAAAAAAATCAGCTTTCCCTTTCGGGGTATTTTTGAAAAAGATAATGGCGAGACAGCAGTGGCACCTTAGGGCAGGAGCCCTGTGATCCTGACATATCACTGGTCACTGAGCGCAAAAAAGTAGCAAGAAAATGTTCTGTTCATTTATTTTTCTACACCTTAACTTCAGTTGCACACCCATCAACAAAGTGATTAATGTCAAATATACGACAGTACAGCCCTAATAAGTAGTGAATACAGCGTGTATGTCAAGACCTTTCCTGTTTTTGTGCAATTGCAAGGTGAAATCAAAATGAATTTGCATGTATACAATGACCTTTGGGTGTTAAAAGCCCTTTCTGTTGAGGATTGTGACAAGAAAACTGATCTAAAGGATGTAAATTAGCTATGCATGAAAAACAGCATAGCTAATTTGAATGAAGCACACAGAGAATAAAGCCTGGCTTCGGGCTGCACTTACCTGTACTAGGGTTGAGACTGAATGTCCCTGCAGTGTTGCCTGATTGAATTCTGTAGGTCACTCTACCATTCTCCCCTTGGTCTGCATCTCTGGCCATGACATACAGCACTACAAAGCCCACTGGCTGATCCTCCATCACACTGACAGCTGTTGGCGATATGAACACTGGTGGATTGTCATTCTCATCGGTCACATACAGCCTTGCCGTGACAGAACCCCAGCGCCTCTGGCTGACATCAGGAGCAGAATCTGTTGCTTTTACAACCAGGATGAGGTTTGGAGTGACCTCATAGTCCAGCTTCTGGCCCAAGGAGAGAACCCCAGTTGATGGGTCGAGGGTTAATAGACCTGGGGTATTTGGCCACTGTTGTAGTATGGAATACACCAGTTTGCTGTTGGACCCGCTGCCATCCTTATCTGTGGCCTGGAAAGTATAGACAGAGGAGCCAGGATCCATGCTCTCAGAGATGACAATTGTGATGGGGTCCTCTGGGAACTGAGGAGTGTGGTCATTACTGTCCTCTATGTCGATGTCCAGGTGGACAAGAGTGCTGCTTGGAGGGGCCTCGGAGAAGTCATCCACTTCAATTTGCAGATTGTAGCGCGAGTCTCGTTCATAGTCAAGAGGACGAGCCAAGTAAACGTCCCCAGTCAGACGATCCACAACGAATGTGCCATCTCGGTCCGTACCCCCCACCACTGTGTAGGTCACCTTGTCGTCCTCTAAGGTTCCTCTATCATGGAGGCGGACCGAGCCAATAACAGACCCGGGCTTGGCCTCCTCCACCGAGTTGAAAGTTATGGAGAGTGAATTCTTCTTGGTAGCAGGTCTGTTAATGCTGATAACCTGCAGTAAAGCAACACATTGCATTTATATTTAACGGCGCAGCAACATGGCAGCAGATCTAATGCTTCACTGAAATGCCCAGTGGCAACTTACGTTTGCAATTTTCAATACAGAACAAAAATATTTTATGGATTTTAGGCAAAGTGGAAACAGACGTTGTCCTCTCCACACTGAATGTGTTCACGGGGAATAAATGAAACCACTTACAAAAGGTTTTTATAGACTTCAATAACATGACTGCTAAGATTAATCTGACATCTGTTTGGATGCCAAGAAATATAATAGATGATAAAAGTGCTGCAATCAGAAAAGGAAGTGTTATAAGGGCTTGAATTTAGTACTGAGGAATACTGCGGTACTGCATATAGTTTTACACTTCTTTTCCGAGTGTCTTCAAAGACTACAACCTTATTATTTCTCTTCTGAAACATTGTTTAAATAAAACATGTTTTTTCCCTTTGATACATGCATGTAGTGTGAAAATTAAAGCAGCTGTGAAAGGTAAATGAGCACGGAGTGGCTTTATTGATGAAATTTTAATCGAAATTACTGACCGTGTTTTGTAACCTGATTGGCCAGTCTGGATACTCAGCAGTGTATCCAACAGCACAATTCCCACACTAAGTAGGCACTCAAAAAATATGCTGTGCTTGCTGACAAGCTGTAAATTGGTTCCACATTAGATGGAAAAGAAGTGTTCCAAAAATAAATTGGAATAGGCCTATCCTATCATCGACGGAATTAAATAATCATTCAGAAAAGATGATTAAAGGAAATTACACAAATACGTCACAAGGCAAGAACAACACTGCACTGTTTAATCCAATTAACTAACAATTATGACTTCCATTTTTTGTTATTGGAAAAGAGGAAAAATTGCGCTGGCGCTGACTGGAGCTGTTTATATAGGAGCTCAATTTTCCTGGAACCTATAAATCTTCCTTCCAGAGTTCTTCCATTGTGTTTTTTTCTGTTCTATATTAAATATTAACACGAATTACCTTTAATGCTGTGTTTTATGTTGAGTGTATAGCCTTGCTGCTCCTTGCAAAAAGGGCTACTGTATTAAAAAAGTGTTGAAGTCATTGAGTATGACCTTGATCATAGATGTCTACAGCTGGCCCTCATCACGAGCCAGCTGGGAGTATTTGAATCAGATCCACTTTTCCATTTCAGATAGAAATTTCCCTTTTGAAAATTCACAGGGGAAGAAAAGGGGAGGGGATGGGAGGGGACCTTGTCAGAAGTGAGGCTGATATGTCTGCAACTAGTGCGAGGGGCCCAGGGATGCAGATCGTCGCTGCCCCGAGTCTATTCTTTGATATCAAATAGGTGAATATAGTGGGTGTTTGTGCTCGCAGTGGTTCCAAAACACAGTCTGACCTGAATGGTGAGGGAGCAGGAGGTGCTGCGAGGGGGCAGTCCTCTGTCGGTGGCTGTCACCGTCAGAGTGTACTCAGCCCGTTCCGAGTGGCTGAGAGGGGATGACGAACGCAACTCGCCAGTGTTTGTGTTCAAAGAGAAGCGCTCAGCTCTGGGACCTAGAAGAAACAGAGCAAAACTTGAGATGAGAAGTGCATAGGAAGCCTGAACACACAAACACAAACATTAAATTGAATCCGCTTTCAACAGTATACAAAAAAAGAAGAAAAGCATGAAAAAATTAATAAAGACTGGAGGAAGATATATTACTTTAAACGTCTCTATAAAGTACCTGACAAAGAATAGAATATTGTGCCATTCTCCCCTTCATCAGGGTCTTTGGCTTGCAGTGTACCCAGTACAACCCCAGAAGGCTGACCTTCCATCACCTAAGGGTTAAACCAGATTTTCAGCACTCTATGATAGCAATTTATTTTCTGCCAAACAACATTTGTGCTCTTTCGACATTACCTGAATTATGATGTTTTTCCCTGACTGACTGTGGATGAAAACAGGGTCGTTGTCATTTTCGTCCAGTACAGTGATGAAAGCGGTGCCTGTGGCGCTACGAGGGGGTGAACCTCCGTCTTGTGCCACCACCAAGAGCTGGTAAGTAGACTGCTGCTCTCTGTCCAGAGTCATCCTTGTGCTGATCTCACCTGGGGACACAAGTAGATAAATGAGAGAGATTTTATGCACAGGCACAAGTCCACTGGAATAATGATGAGTCTTAAGAGCCAGCCGGCTTTGATCAGTGACACATAAGTAATAGACATGAACAGTGTGCAGATCTGTTCGTACACAGTCGGATACACGTTCATACACACAAACAGAAGATTTCTGAAAGGTTGGAAGATGCTCTAGAGACTCACAACTCTGCTGGAAGCTGATCACAAATCAGAGCCCGAGTCTCCACCTACAGACTAGCAGGCTCAGCAGGCCAATTAGAACTCAGCAGGATGCTTAGTGCTGCTGTCACCGTGATCTAACTAATTTATGACAGTGGCAGAGGGGCAACCTCAGTCTCTCATCTTTTAGAGATGTCTCTCTGACTTGACTAAATTGTGTTTTTCCACATGCTTTTCATTCATGAAAAATTTATTTTTTTGGTTATTTGAGCTTAGTTTGACTATAACACAATTTTACAGACAGATAAAATGGACATAATTAAGCTGATCAATTAAAATTTTCCAGTCAAGCATGTGCCAAGATCTTCAAAGGCTGATCCTCTGCAAAGTCTTGGAGATCAATTAAACAAATAATATCAGCTTCCTTTCATGTTATCTCCTCTGTCACTGGTGAACTAATGTTTTTGCATGCCTGTTCTGTTCTTTAGGCAAATCAAATTTTTATGCCTTCATTACCTTTTTTGTATAAATATGCATATTTCTATGGTTGCTTATTAAAATTAAACTAATCAAGCCACATTTTAACACTTAAGTCTAACTGACTAATCTCAGTGGATAAAATTTTCAGTTAACCTGTGTGGGTGTTAATCTGAAAGTGACGGTCAGGATGCAGAAAGCGGTAAGCGAGGCGTCCGTTGGGGCCGCTGTCGCGATCTGTGGCCAACACGTGACCAAAGCCTGTTCCCGGAGGCAGGTTCTCTCTCACAGCCATGAAGACCCTTTCCTGCGTGAGCCGAGGAGAGTTATCATTCTCATCAGTCACCGATATCCGCACTGTGGCACTGCCTGTCTTCTTTAACTGTCCATGGCCTGTACTGGCTAACACTGTCAGGAGGTACATGTCCTTGACTTCCCTGTCCAGGGCACTCTTCACGAACAGCCAGCCGCTGTCTGCAGCAATGCCAAAACCTGCAGCATCTCCATCTGGACGTAAATGATATGCCAGGGGAGCAACGTGGCCAGAGGTTGGTGTTTCTCTGTTCAAAGCTCTGACTTGCAGAAAGCGTGTGCTTATTGGAGTTCCTTCTTTTAATTCAACGCGGTACGTGAGGGTGTCAAACACAGGACCCTGGTCGTTCTCTGCCTGGACATGAACCACAAGCATGAAGGTGGCACTTAGCTGGGGTACTCCACTATCCTTGGCGATAACCTGGAGGTCATAACGGGGGGTATTCTCATAAGAGAGGCTCCCTACCAATCGAATCTCTCCACTGCTGCGCTCTACGCTAAAAATCCTCTGGAGTCCATTTGAAGAAGAAAGGTCAAAGGTGAGTTGTCCATTGACTGCTGAGTCTCTGTCCTCAGCTTGGACACGATAAACTACTGTGCCCATTTCTGTATGCTCTGGCAGCAGCAGGGACTCTGAGGATGAGGGCAGGAAAACAGGTGGGTTGTCGTTGACATCTGCAATGGTAATGTGGACACGGGTCTGGCCAAAGGCAGGAGGGTTGCCGCTGCGGGCCTGCACCTCCAAATCAAGAGCTGATTGGGCTTCATGATCCAGGGGAAGACTGGTCCTTAGGGCCCCGGTGTCAGGATCAACTGTGAAGTAGCCTGCAGGGTCTCCAGAGCTGATGGTATAGGAAATATCTCTAGAGATGCCTGAAAGATGTAAAATTACAAAGACAGGTCACTGATTTATAACATTTTTGGTTTTTTTTTTACAGAAGAAGTGTCAGATTAAGGTGTCTGTAGTCCGCACCTGTTTTACTGCTGGCCTGGACGATTCCCACAACAGTCCCGCGCAGGACGTCCTCTGACACGGTGAAGTAATACTGAGTCTTTTCAAACACGGGCGGAGCCACTAAACCTGCCACCACACTAATGTTAACTCTGGCATTCACTAAGGCAACAAGACCACCACCATCCTGAGCAGAGATAACCATTGGAACGACAGAGTTGGCCTTTCCATAGACAGATCGAGACAGTGAGATCACACCTTTAAAAGGATTCAAAGATAATACATTAACAGGCAATTTTGACATCACACAATATCATAAATTGTTTGAATTATTTCTATAAATCATTACAAAAGTCCAGAGCAGGAATGGGAAAAATATTTACACTGACCTGTGTCTTTGTTGAGAGTAAAGTATGGAGAAGCCCCTCCAGGCACTGTTTTGTATGTAATTCGCCCATTCTTGCCTGAGTCTGGGTCATAGGCTGTCACTCTGACAACAGATGTCCCAGGGGCACTCTGTGTGCTCAAACTAACAGCATAACTGAGAGGGTAGAAAGCGGGTCTGTTATCATTAATGTCCACCAGATCTACCCTGACATAGGCCACTGAGCTCAGTCCACCCTGCAGAGGAAACAAAAAGCTCTTTTGTTATACCTTCACATATTAAATCATGAACAGTAAAAACATACCTGAAAGCAGGATTTAGGCCACATTAACAGCGCACATAGACCACATTAATGGTGGAAGTAAAAACCAGCAGTAAACCCAGTTAAGATTTCGATGTATGGCGTAGCCTCTAAAATATAGTCCCAGGAGGTTCGCGTAGGGACACAGATTGATAGTTTCCCTTGGGAAAGAGCAATATGTCATGACCCGTGGAGGGTGAGAGGGCTTGCTGCAACCCAAGTCTGTTTCATAGCCTTTTCATTTGCAGAAATACAGTGCAGGCTTTTCATTTGGACCAGGTGGCAAAAACGAGGAAGGCGGCAGTCCAACTTGTTAAAATATTACTGCCTGACAGTTGAGGTATTTTCCTTCTGATTGCTTTAACATGCCCGCAGTAATTTTCTTTCATTTTTAACTTTTTCTTCTTTAAGTATTTTTTGGCAGTCAGTGCACAGGATGCTGTACTAACTTAAGTCTACCTACCAAGGAGAACTATTCAAACTTGGGAGGGGGACAACTCAAAAACTCTTTTTTTTTCCTGCACAGTTGGCCACATCTCTGCTCTCCTGTCTATAAGAAAAGCATGGCTGCTGTGTTTATGGGATTATACTGCAGCTCTGTGGATTCATGATTTCAAAGGGCGGTGGCTTACCCCATCTACTGCAGTAACAGTAAAGTCGAAGCTGGCTGGTCCTTGATCTCTGTCTAGTGCAGCAGTAGTGCAGATCTGGCCAGTCTCCTTGCCAATGGTGAATTTAGAGGGAACAGCGCTGTTAATGCCAGAGCCAAGAGAATAGGTAATCAAGCCATAGGAGCCACTGTCTGCATCTGCCGCAGTCACCTACAGAGAGGAAAACATGCTATGGGTTAAACAGTCCAACATTGCACATTACAATTAAAATTTATTAAGTTGGAAGGGGAATATCTCACTGGATAAACTCAGCAGTTTCCATATTCAATTACGTTACTCTAAATCCTCATTAGATCAAAACTAATTTCTATTAGTTGTAAGAGTCAGGACAGTCCACAAACTGAAACAGGAGCACCATACCAGGTGCCTTTGAAAGCATCTTTGGATCCGTTCTTTATTGTTTATCCGAGCCAGAACATGAGCCAAACAGGCCCTCTGGCAGAAAGAGCTCTGAGGGAATGAGGGGGGGGCAGGAAGGAGGATGACTTCTACAGGCTCTGGGAGGCCTGCCAGTGGGAGAAACTGCCTGCTTCTAGAGTAGTGTGTGTCTGCAAAGGACAGTGACAAGAGCGACTGGGCAATGGTGGGATACCACACATTATATTTTAGTGCAACGCATTACAACCTGATGTGATGTCCTGGTTGCAGTCTGGTCTTAATAATGCTGCACATTTATAGTAGGATAGAACCACTGGAGCTATAAAAGCAGCTCCCAAGCCATCAGCCAAGAAGCCAGCTAAATTACTGTTGGATCTCCCAAGACAGCACAAGGCAAACACACCAATCAGATCAACCCCTGGGTACGAGCAGCATAATTGTTTGCAAGTGTTGGTGCTAGATCGCAGATTAGAGTAGGGTTAAACCTCACAAGTTGATTAGAATTCTTCTTCCTTCCATGTTTTATAAATGAATCCTTTTAGCAAAAACACTAATTGGAATAAAATTGAGCTCATGGTCTGGTGCTCCAACGTGTAGCAGCAGGGAACCTCATCTGTGAAAGAGGGAGCACTCATCAGAAATATCGCCAAGAAAAATAAGGCAAGCCATGGTTATTATCAAATCCTGACTTTTAAAAAAGATGTTACTTGTATGGTTGTGAATGGATGGAAATCATTCACTTGAGGTGATGAAGGTTTGTCTGCAATAATTTAGCCTTCATCTCTTTCCTGAGCAGATGGCAGACGGGGGACTCAGCAGAGAGCCCTCTTGACTGTAACTCCTAACAGAGGGTGAGTGGGGTGTTGGAGTGAGAGAGTCGTAAGGCTGGCAGAGATGCAAGCCAAAGAGAAGAAGAATAATAAACCACACGAGGAAAGGGGAAACCAAGAGCAATACGAGAAAAGCTACTCTTTTAATGTGCAAAAGCTGTTGCTTACTTTTTATCATTTAGCAGGGGGGGGGACAAGTTATTTATAACAACCCCAAAGATTTATGTGTTTGGTTTACTCATATTTGTGTGATGAGTGTCAGCTGGGGGGAAACTGAAGGAGCACCTTGGTGTGAATACCTGAATGTTGTTAAAGAAAAAGATAGCAGATATGCAACAAGCATTTCCCAGCAGATCTGCAAGAACACATTTCCTCTCTTGTGACTGAACCTTCAAAAACCTTTACTGATTGTAGAAGCTATGATTTTTTTTCCCATTTTGGGCAAAACCTTCTATAAAAACTTTTTAAAAGTACACCTACATACAGTGTATGAAAAAGAAAGAAAAGACAAGAAAAAAATGCTTTCAGTAAGGTGGCAACAGGAGCTTTTTTAGTCTATTCAGGCTAAACAGCAGTTCACAATGAAATGAGGCTGTTTTTTGAGTTTAAAAAAATACCAGCTTGAGTAAAGTGCAGTTGTACAGTGTGTGCTACCAAAATACTTTTTTAAACCATGAAAACAATCTGTTCCTTGAGTTAACTCTATCATTGGAGACATACTGTAGATTACAATTTCACTGCTGTGCAGGTTAAATGATACAGAAGGCCATATGCAAAAATAAATCGACAAATAAAGTAACAGTGAGCACATCACTACATATAATCATGAACCATGAACCTGAAGAAGATCACATACAGAAATGAATAATTAAGCCTAGACATGCACCAATCAACCGGACAAGTACCAAAATGACTACCGGTAATTTCTACAAACCAGAGTAATGAGTAAATTGTAAAAAATAAGCGTGGCACAATAAACTGGGTAATTGAAACCCCTACTTACAGTATTTTACCGTTTTTACAGTTGTTTGTTGCATGAGTGCACAGCAGTGGTGGGGGAGGGGACGGTCACATTAAGACATTTGATTGGGCAATCCCAGTGTCAGTAATGAAAATGAGCCAGTGTGCTGCTCAAAGTCCCTGATTACAAACTAAAAATAAAAGTAGATTAAGATGAATAAGCCAGAAAACATCAGACAAAATTAGATTCAAAAAAGTAATAAATAAAAGCCTTTTCTTTTGGGACGTTGCATAATGCTACAGTTCTGCACTGGTGTCACAGCGAGGAGTCATGCATTATTCATACTTGTTTATGTCCCTTTCATGCATTCTTGGTTCAATTACCATTCTATTCTAACCTTTTATACTATATATAACTTCCAGAAAGCACATTAAGGCTTAACCGCAACCACATATACATATTGTAAATTTTAAAACTGGTAACCAGACAAGTCATTTAACATCTGCTCGATATAAATAGGAATTCTCCACCCAATGCAGCATAGAAAAATACCAGTCTCCACTATGTTGTATCCATCACTAATATCAGGTGCCTCTGTTTCAGTTTCCCAGTGACTTTGTACTCTCTCCTCTGGAGTGTATAGGTATTACACAAACTTTATTTTTATTGGATTAAAGTTCAAAAGCAAGAGTAAGCTTAGATCATCACCAGCAGCCAGCAGTATTCTCCCTACACTTCATGTATGTGAGTGAGGAATGATGGGAGCTGTCTTATCAGCAGGGGAAAGGCAACGTTTGGCTGAGTCCTTAGTAAAACAAGCTGGAGAAATCCAAAGATAACTGGGGAACTTTGTGGTTCTCCCATCAGATTCCAGGAGACTTCCAGAGGAGACTTTCTGACTGACTGACTGACTGACTGACTGACTGACTGACTGACTGTCCAGTCAAGAGAACAGAACTCACAGGAGAGAACAGGATTTTGTATATTTATATATAACATGTCCAAATGAAATAATGATCTTGAGGCTTTTTCCTGCTCTATTGTTTTCTGGGCCGTCTAATATCCTAATACTGTGGTCTGGGAAAGAGCCTGGCCTTTCTTTTCTTTTCAGAAGGCCAGGATTTGGGTGATTTCTATTTTTGGATGTGAAATTTCCCAAAATGCCTTTTCTAATCATTGAATGTGGCTTTTCAGTTCTTGATCATAAATGTATGAGGTTAATGCAAACATATGTATGTGTGACCTTATTTGTCCATAGCCAGTGCTCCCCGCTAGACCTTCATTGTGCAGCCGTGCATAAAAACCACACCGTGGAAAGAACTAGTGCAAAAACCAGTGAGTAAGTGAATGATGCAAAGCTGGGCCCGCTGAAGCCAACAAGGGGTGAACTGAAGGCAATGTAGTTTTTATTCACGCACCCCGTATTTTAGAGTGCCCAGTCAAACAAATCCATCTCACGTATTCCTCAGCAAAACCAGCCAATCAGGACCGCAACTCTGCCAATCCAAACAGGCCACAAATGACGGAGTGCGCATGTAAATGTTTGCCAACTGGGAAATCATCACACACATCAATCAAACTCTGCATGCACAAGTCCTGTGAGTGTACCTTAGATGCGTAAGCAAAGACACAAACGTACAAACATTGGGAATAAAGCGACTGCTCATCACAGTTTCGTGATGCTTGCAGAGCAAGACAGCAAGATCAAGTTAATTCTGAACTCCGATGACATCAAACTCCAAATATTTTTTTGTATTCTCATTGCAAACATACAAAACACAGATTAGTATGCAGCAAAACCAGCAGGGGCCCAAATTAAACAAAATACAGCAACAGTTTTAGAAAATACTGGATGACATTTCTAAATCTCTTAAGCTCATATTTATGACTGAGCTTTCTTTTATCTTTCTGGAGTAGTGCTTTTACTTACATATGTTGGCCAGACAGTTGGCGTGGGCTTAAAGAAATATTGTGTGGATGTTAAAAAGGAAAAAGTTTTCATCCTTAGGTTTAGAATAAAGGGGACCTTGTTTAGTGAATGATGAAGATTTATAAAAGGTAAGGGAAATTAGTACTCCACCCACTACATAGATTTCAGCAGGCATATTTATGATGTGGAACTTTCAGAGCAGTGACGCCGCAGTTTCTGACAACCCAGTGAGATTTAGAACAATATTAGACCCAATCACATGCATTTTTCACCACAACATGGTGAATTTCATTCAAAAATAATATTCAATGACAGCTGCACAGGCATGACAAGTTAAGCTCTTAATAGCAGGACTCACACAGGAGCAATCAGCAGGGTAATGTGATAGATTGATAAAGTGACAAGATCATTAAAGACAGCAGAGGCAAAGAGGAAAGAGTAGGCTCAAAGAAGTAAAACGAGTGGGTGAGCTGTAGAAATCTGGACTGAGAAATGCTTTGAGCTTTCACAGCTGGTGCGAAGCCCTGCACACTGCTCTGCCTCTATTGTCCTGGCATCACTTCTGAAGAGAGCAGAGATGAGGAAAACGAGGTGGAGACCTCCTAAAGGCCTCTCTCAATAGCCGCTTAAGTAGCAGATGGGCAGGTCAGGGACTTTGTGACATGTCCCCCACCACACCAAAGAGCCAGACAAAGACCACACCCGGGCAGTGGAAGGAAGAAGCCCGCTCACTGTTGACAAATATATCAAAACTCTAAACATTTGTAGCACAGCCTGTACCGTCTGGATTAGGACCAACCATATGTGAAAGATTTCAGTGATTGCTCATGAGACAAAAAGCTGAAACCTTCACAGCATAGTTTAAGACATGTGTAAGGTCTATAAAATTGTGACATTAAATACTGCCAAACTGTGGCCTGTGACGTCTAGCTGTTTTTGTGTAAGTGTGATAAAGGCAATGAAATATATCAAGTATCTCAGAGTATCATCCATATTGCCCCATTGTGTTCCACATATGTACACAGAGAAGGTCTGAATATGACAAAGCAGG